CTAGGCGACTGGTGGTACTTGAATATTGCCATGTCCTAAAAGTGGTACAATGTCTGAAAAGGTTGAGGGCAGGACAAGAAGCAATGAGTGGAAGCTCTTTAAACACAGATCCAACCTGGAACTAAGGAGAAATTTCCTGTGAGAACAATTAATGAATGGTAGAGTTTGCCTCCCAGAGTTGTGAGTCTTGGACATTTTCAAGAAAATATTGGGCATCCATGTGCCCATGATAGTATAAGGACTGCTGTCTTGAGTTGGGACTTTATATATATAAAATCACTGAAAACATCCCTTTTTCTCAACTTAATTTTAATAATATAACTATGAGGGTGGGAAGATATCTGAACAAATCCTTCATTTTCAATCTTTTCCAGTGAAGCTTTTCTTAAAGGAAGAAAACAATTCCCTTGCAGCAAAAGGAGATTAACTATAACGAGATGGAAGTTACATTTTATCATAAGATGAATTACATATTTCTGGGCCATTGTACATTAAGATAGACTGAAGGATTTCAAAAGTTATTATTCTGTACCGATATTTGGAATAAATATTATAGATTTAGTACCAGTTTTATCTAGAATATCAACATTTTAGAAGGAACAAGATTAAATTAAATATTAATGCTTCAATATAAATGAGAAAATAAAATATGCTGAATCTGTATTTAAAAGTAAATCCATTGAAATCAATATTTCATTAATTACAAGTCCACTGTATATAATTAAATCTGCATTCAACCCAAACTTACTTAATAAGAACAGTTTGATAACTCAAAAACCAGAAATCATGTATCATAGATGTTCGCATTTGGATGACTGCACTGAATGAGGAGTCAGACTCAATGGCCTTCCAATTCTGTAACTTGGTGACTTTAATCTATTGGCATTTTTATTTAATCTTCATTTTTTTTAAAAAAAAAGCTTAGAGTATGGGAAGACATTAAACTGGGATTTATGGGTAGTCCTGTAAGATTTTTTGTTTATCAAGAGCAACAACTAAAAGCTTTACCCTCAAAATATAAATATGTAAGTAGGTTGTTGGGTGGTGGGGGAGCGTCTCAGAGAAAATCGAGGAGAGAATTTCTATGTGGAAAAAAAATGATATTGATAAAAAATAGTTACTAAACAGAATGTGAGTTCAATACACCCTTCTACTTAATTCATAGCACTGCATATATCTCTATTGAGCTGGTAAGTCTCAAGTTTCTAGGATTTTTTTCCCTTTTCTTTCTGTTTGAGAAACGTCACATTATGTCAACCCATAATTTGAAGGAAACACCAGAGAGTAAATTAAAGACAGGACTGAGTCTGTCCAATGTTAACCAAATTCAGATATAATTAATGGCACTTCTATATGCCAATTGTTTTCATTCCCCTATTCCACAAAGTAATGTAAAAATCATCTATATTTTTGATGATCTAGAAACACCTAGAAATAATGACTGAGAAGAACTTTCATGCCTCAAACTTCTATAGTTTGTAGGTTTTCCTGAAATAATCAGAAAAAGCCTGCTTTACAAAAAAGAAAAGCACAACTATGACTTTTGGCATTTGCTAAAGAAAAGTAAGAGTTAAACAGTTTCATGCCTATAAAGATCATAAGCATTCTTTCTCTTTTAAAGACTGAATTGCTTAAAAGAAGTGAGGTCAGAATTTCCTTTAATGGCCAATCATTTCTATGGCTAATGTAACCAGAGAAATGCAATGACTCTGAGATTTCACATATGCGGCAACTGAGTCAAAAAATAAATTGCCTAAATTTTTCAGCGTTACCAAATTTGTGGAATTCTGTATGTCACTTAACTTTCAAACTGGTGTAATAGCCTAAATTCAATCCCACCTAGTGAAAAAGCATGAAACTAAATAAGATCTTCCTTCAATTTAAAGAAAGGTCTCTTCGGACTTTTTTCATAATTCCCAGGCTGAACAGGTAATTCATGTTATCTGTTATGATCATTGCCAGGAAAGGGGATTTGTAATGGCTGGCATTTTTCTCTTTTGTGAAAACATTTTGAAAGGAAGAGCAGAAGAAAACCGGATATATGTGCTTTCTATAAACATCCCAGATACATTTGTAACATAAAGTTTAATCTACATGCTCTATAGAGATACTCTTTACGTTGCAATTTCGGTGTTGTCAGATTTATGCAGCCTGACCATTCTGTGAAGCTAGCCATTATCCTCTAAAGATGAGGAGGAGATAATACCCGAGATTTGGGGTGTAGGAAGAGAGAGTTGTTTCAGTTTGATTTTTAACCATTTATTCCTAATAGAGGATAAATGAGAGTGAGTTATTACCAACCAAGGATGATATCATTTCGGAAAAAGCCAAGAGCACTACTCTAAATAAGAACAGCTTGAAGAACCCATTTTTATTCACTGTAACACAATATTAAAAAGAAAGTATGAGAAAGAGCTTAAGACTGCCCATCAGTCTTAAGCTAAACAGAATGGAACCAAATTTGGTATGGTAGAAGAAACCAGCAAAACAGCTGAGCTAAAAATGGCCCAGATGTTGAGGTACTCTATGGCGGGGGGAAAATCATTTAAAAAATTCCCAGTGGTTGGATTGTCACCTGGAAAAACTGAGCTCTTCTGCATTCTAAGCCTTCCCTCTCTCTTCCTATTCAATCACATGTCATAGCCCAAAGCGAAACTACTGTTAAGGCAGTGGTTCTCAACCTTTTTAATGCCGCGATCCCAACCGGTCGTAAGTCGAGGACTAAACCGGTCGTAAGTCAAGGACTACCCAACCGGTCGTAAGTTGAGGACTTTCCCTGCCTGGGAGCGCCGCACATGTGCGCCGGCCGAGGCGTAGCTGGCAAGCGGCAGAGACAGAGCAGGCCGACCACCAGCTGGCCCAGCCCAAGGGAGGTAAGGCACCCGCCAGAAAAGGGGAAAAAAATGGCGGACAAAAAAAATGGTGGACAAAAAAAATGGCGGACAGCCTTGCTTGGTGACCCCCATGAAATGGTCAATCGACCCCACAGGGGGTCCCGACCCACAAGTTGAGAACCACTGTGTTAAGGGATCAGAAAAACTTTTAGAAGTCATGTTCTGCGTGATTTCCCTCCTTTGTTCATATCAAACCCCTGATGTTCACCAGATGGAGCCAGAGAAATTATCAATGATTGATTGAATGAATGTCAGAATGTCCTGTGAATTTATAGAGAGATCAATTGCAAATGAGTATCCCTTAGAACTGGCCATATAACACACTCTGGATTGAATTGCCCCTGCATCAATGGGCCACAATCATTTGGAAAAATTAATTTTCCTGTTGTTTACTTCCAACACTGCTGTGGGAGTTAAAATGAGCCAAGGATGAAGCTCTTCTAAATTTGAAACAATGATTTTGTCCAAATGGCTGACTGATTTACTGTATATTTTGGACATTGGTTATTAATGAATACGTCAAAGCTATGTAATCAGTTTGCCTTCTACACTTTGCCAATGACCTTCCTTTAATTCCAAATTGAATTGGCTTCCTAGTATTTTTTTTTTCAGGTGGAATTAAAATTGTCTCCTATAACTAACGGGGCCAACCAACCTGGACTATACAATATAACAAATCCTTACAAATGTAAAAATAATAATCTAAAAGCCAGATTCAACTCTAGTGGTTCCTTCTTCTTTCCTAAATACTACATTTGAAATGCAGCACAGGATCTGGGAAATATTTTTCAAACTTTGGATTGAACTTTCTCTACTATTACCATTTCACTGTATGGCCTTAATTGAATCCCAGGAAATAAGTGGGCATAAGCTTTAGCAGCTAGAATGAATTGGTTAAAATAGTTGATTAAAATAGAAAGCTTGTATAGCTGAGGATGATCTGGATGCCCTTTGAGATAGTCACAATAAGCATTTCTGATTCAGAAGCTTGGAAAAAACTATCCCTAAATATTGAAATATTGCTCAGTGGTAGGTCTATCATCCTAGTTCCATGACTTTGGAGACATTGGAACAGGAACAGGAACAGGAACCTAGAGGACCTAGAGCACGGGTGTCAAACTCACCACATCATGTGACATGTTGCGATGTATCGTGGCTCTTTGCATTGCCGACAATCGGGTGGGCGTCAGCTTGGGTATGATGAAACTGGCCCGCGGGCCGGCAGTTTGACACCCCTGACCTAGAGGACCTAGATTTGAAGAATAAATCACACCTGAATGTATGGTGCAACTAAGAATTACAGATCAGAATAGATGCACAAGTGGTAGTTGGCATGTATGGATCATATAAAAATCTTTGGAAGGAGAATCAGGAAGACAATATAATAAAAGCCATATCTGAAAGACTTCAAAATTCCTTTATGTGAGATTGTGTTATATTGGTTCCACATTGATTGATTGTTGGCTCTATGTCACAAAATATAGATTAGCTATAATGCTACCTTATAAAAAATAACTCTTTAGCAGGGCTAGTTCCATTCTTCTTGGAAATGCCAGTTAAGGGACTTTTGTGGAACTCTTTTGACCTCTTTTCAAAGATTCACTGGGGCTTAAATTATACGGAGTGAACTTACTGTTTTCTTTATTTTTTTACTATTTATATCCTGGACAATAACTAACTCTCTCCAGCAATTTTCAAGTTAAAAAATATTAAAACCATTACAAGGAGCAGTATATCTCCTCTGAGAGTCATATATTGGATAGCTAATATTTTCTTTTCTTCAAAGCTCACAAAAGCAGCATAATGTCTGTCACCATTGGACCAAAGAAATCAAGATAGAAGGCAGAAGCCTAGCTTGAATGAACATTTGTTCAGACACAAGGATTGACCCTGGATTGACCCTGCTTTCTTGTTCTTTCTATATGCAATTTCCAGAAGTGTATATTGCACAGTTTTGGCGAGTTTCTGATCTCTAAGCATATTCTATCAAGGAAGGGCATGTTTGAGGAAGGAGGCAAGAAACAGTCTCTTTTCATGAACAGAATTTCTTTTTTATTAAAATTAATTCACAGGTATTTACTAACATTGAATATATTTTGGTTATAGGTCCAAGGAACTCTGAAGCGGCAATGGATGCAGTATAAAACTCAGTGGGGTCAAAGGCGCCGTGACCATTGCTCTACACGGTCTACCTCCTACACAGCAACATCTATCACAGAGGTTCCTGTTTATCTGTATCATCATGATTCCAACAGTGAGCATCTGAATGGAAAGTACATACATGACTCTGAACTTGTTGCATTAAAATCTGGAGAGACATCTGCTTAATTTATAATTAAAGGGTTCCACTTTTCATTTCTGCACAAAGGAGCAGACTGTAAAGCACCTACAATGTGCATACTTGTTCAGCAACCTGGAGCCATCATATGCAAAGTGCAGACATTCAGCTCTCTTGTGGCACCAGTTCATGAAAGTCTGATAGAGATTCAGACATGGGGACTGATCCCGGTTGCCAATGCCACTTTCAAATGAAAAAGAGATGAAAGCTAAATTTCTCAATGAGGAGGAAAAATTTTCACCAGTTCCAGAACTTGTCCATATAAAATGAGGATGCAATAGTAATACAACTTTGCATCAGACATCCTACTAGGATAACCCATTATTTCTACAAAAGATCTTTGTTATCCAAATAGAGCTAAATGCAAATTGGAGATGGTAAAGAGCTATTGCTATTTGGAATCATAAATATGAATTTATTTGTCATTATATTCGAGCACTTTTATTATTTTACTTTCAGTAAGGCTAAATGATGTCTCAAAGTGTTTTTCCCCACCACACAACTTGGAGCAAAACAACACCAACATTTATTTCCTATATGTAAATCTTTACTATCACAACAGGATGCTAGCCATTCAGTATTATTCTGATATCAGGCAAGAGAGAGAAATGAAGATAAATTATTTATTATATCATAAAGTTTACAAAAAAAGATTAAATATTTTCATAGGAATACAATATTCTGTCAGGAAGTCCACTGAGAGGATTCAAGAGCCTTGTTCAGTACATCAGCTTTATATAAATTGTTTCAAGGGAAATTTGTCAGCCATATTTTTCAGTCCAAAAAATTAAAGATAGAGAATCATTTTTTCTAGAAATAAAGTGAAAGTTCTATTTGGAAAATAGCTTCTTTCTTTCTTTAATTCTTTCTTCCTTTCTTTTTCTTTCTTCGTTCATATTACCACTGATGTTTTTCTGATTCTAAATATTCATTCATTTTGCCAGCTAGAACCTTTGCAGATAAGGATTCAAAATGAAAAGTATCCATTATATAGCTTATCATTCGGGCTTAAATTTTAGAACTATATACTTTGTACTTTATTACATATGTATAGTCTTCAATATATCTTCTTGCCTTCTTTCTCAGAAAAATCCCGTGCAAAAAAAAAATCTAAGGAGAATGCCATTGTTCGTAAACACCAGAAATTTTTTCTTGAAATTTGCAAATAGAATTTATAGAATCAAAAGTAATTAAAATTATTATTTATATCATTCCATACAAATATTATTGAAATTGTAAGCAACACAGAAAAGTGATTTCCATATCACTTTTGGATTCAACTGCACCTAAATCTTAATTCTGCACATGAGAAAGTTTGACATAATTTTAATCTAGAAAGAGTATGGTTTTGCAATGTATGTATTGTAGGTAAAGCTGTGCATACTATTTTTTTTTGCCTTGAAAACACTTTAAAAAGCCATATAACTTTCTAATAATTTTCTAATGCATATACTATGATCAAAATAAGTTTTAGAAACATATATACATTGCATGCATTTAATATTTCCAATTCAATTTCAACTTTGAAAACAGTTCCCAATTAGCTTCACTGATACAAATAATTGTTTAAATTTTTGATAATTTTTGTTCCACTTAAACCTAACATTCCACAGTCACTGTTCCAAAGAAGAAAGGAGCCATTGCAATGTTCCCACATTTGGCAAGAACTGATTACGTATTTTGGCAACACTCAAGTTATGCCAAATATCTCAAAAAAAATTTAAAGATACATATTCTATTCACCATGTTAAGTTTATATTTTATGTAATAGAAAGTTCACATAAAGATTATCTGTATTTCTCTTAAAGTAATTAGAGAGTACACAACACAAGAAATTAGTTTGGAAAGCTTTCAAAATGAGATCGGAGTAGAAAGCTAAAGTATAATTTGAACAAATAAATAGCTGGGTTAAGGGAAAGCAACCAGAAGTCCCATTTCATCAGCATTCAGAGTCACAGGATAACTTATGGATTTGTCTGGGAAGTTCATAAGTTTCCCTCTATTTTGATTTCACTGGAATTTTTATGCCAACCTGCATCTCTTTATACTTGTTCATTGAATTGCTCTTAGCATTTCAAAGTCAATTAAACCAATTTCATGGGATTCAAGTTTTTCCACAGTTCTTTTTTTAATTTTATCATACTAGATAGTTTAGTGAGAGCCAATTTGAGAAAGTGGTTAAATTGCTAAGCTGGAGACTAATAGTATCAATCCCAGCTGAATGTATAAGCAGCTCAGACTATCGTTCGGCCCTAGATAAACCTTGCCAAAAAACCTCCCTCCTACATTGACTTCTCTAGGAAGCTGCCAAGAGTCAGGACTGACCTCAATGTAGCAACATATATACATGTTAAATAGATAAATAGCTAGATAGATAAAGATGAGAGAGAGAAAGAGAGAGAGAGAGAGTGAGAGAGATAGATCTATCTAATCATTTCTCTCTCACTATAGATAGATAGATAGATAGATAGATAGATAGATAGATAGATAGATAGATAGATAGATAGATAGATAGATAGACAGACAGACAGACAGACAGACAGACAGACAGACAGACAGATAGATGTAGATCATTTATGTATAAGTTAAAAATCACCCTCATCCTTAGGAAATTCCATTTTGCTGTTCTTACCAGCATGTGAATTGCCTGTAGAGTCTATTGTCTGTAGAGTTTGGATCAGCTAGCAGCCTATAATAGGGCCTCTATGCCATGACAACTAGGTTTCATTCAGAAGCCTTTTGTGAGGAATGTTACTAAAGGCTTTTATGAAATCAAAGTACATAGTATCTGTTGGGTTATGGTATCTAACCCACTTTATCCCATGAAGCCAGTGATGGGAGACTTTGCCATAAATTGATTAAAACTCAAAAGTGTACTGTATGTATTTATTGGGTCCCTTTTTACATGTTTAAAGACACCTGGAAGGGTAATGAGGCAAGATTTCTATTTGCAGAAGCTGTATTAGTTCCTTTTCAACAAGATTTGTTCTTTCGTGTGTTTGCTTACTTTGTCTTTAATATTTTAACCACTTTCCTCAAACAAGTGTTAAACCAGCTTAGTTTCCATTCCTTCCTCTCAATCTTTTTTTTAAAAAATGGAACCACTTTGCCTAATATGTGGTCAGGAAACTGATGCTAATTTGTGGCATATCTACAACAGATTAAGACAAAAACAGTGCTTATTTTTACAAAAATAATAGAAATGTCCTAAATTGTTGAACAACTTCTGGATTATCTGAATGTTTCAGCCTGTCAATCTGGACTATAAATTCATGTCTGATTATATCTATTGGTCTCAGCTAATCCAATTTATTATTGCCTTGCAGCACATGGGTAATGAACAAATCTAATAAACAATAATAACAATAATTTTCCCTTTGAAAACCCAACTTGGCATCTGTTCTATATCTTCAGAATTGAAGACCAATAGCCAATAATCCTTCAGTTTTCCTGTTTTACCCTCCTTTAGCAAACCTTTAATTTCCTGTCATCCAAAATGGCCTCCTGATTAATTTACTATTCTGAATGTATTTGAAGAATGTTTTGTTGGTGGGTTTTAAAATGTTTTTGCTACGTGGTCTTTTATCCATAGTAGTTTATGCTCTTTCCATTCTTCCCATTTGATAAAAAATTCTGTTTTTTGAAGGAAGTCTTCTTGATTGTCATAGCACCTCTGGTTCTTTTATATTAGCCACTGTAATATCCACTTCAACTTTCCTAAAGTATATATTCTATCTGAAATGGTATTAGTGTAGTCTGGAATAATGTCTAAGCCTTATTGAAAGAACTGTCCCTCCTGATTCATCGTACTTGTGCCCTTGTGCCTTTTGCTCTCTCCTGTATGCACATATGCCCTTGGTTGTTTTCATTCCACGGGGTTTCTTTAACACTTGTTTGTTTGTTTTTTCTATTTTCTTCTATCATCAAGCATTTCAACTTGGAGGCCTTTTCCATTTGCGTGTAAGGCCAAAAAAATGGGAACACTGTGTAAATCTAAAAAATAATGGAAAAAATAGATAGTTCCTGGACATGGAAGTTAAACATTCCATACAGATAGAAATAAGTTTCAGAAGATATATGCAAATTGATGCCTTTCATATACTTATGATCATACTTATAATGTCTGACTATTGGAATCTGAAGAGTTTTGACTGGGCTTCTTTGTTCTTGTTTATCACATGCAAATCATGCTGCATGATTTGTATCATAAGCATGCCAGTCATACAGTTTGGTCAGCCCTTGTTTGTCTGTCTAAAAGTGTAAATCTTATAAGATAGGCATCAGATCATAAAAGCTATTTTAAACATGAAAGCAAGATATTAGAATGTCGTTCATTTTTATCATACACCATCAATAGAACTTACATATATAGTATTATATTGTGAACTAGCCTGAAATGAAAGATCTTTAAAGAGTTCCTGAATATTGCACATTTGAGGTCATAATGTTGCATTGATTGTCATGACTGTTTGTGGAAATAGCTAACGAATTTTACAATTATATGTTGCAGTAAACAACAACAACCTCTTGTAAACTGTAAAGACCTCACTGTTTTAATTTTTTGCCTGCTAGAAAGAAAAAGAGAAAAAGGCTTTAAAGTTGTTGTCAGATTAAAAAAAAAAAGACACATTTCAGCCAATATCGGAGTCTTACATATTTTACTAAAATGCATTTAAACCTGTTTTGAATCACCCTATGAAATCAGGGGTGTTAAAAATGCTTAGTTGTTTGGATTATGCCTACAGTACTGCAAAATAAGAACTGTGATTTATCAACTAATTATACCTAAAAGTTGTACAATGAGCAGCCTGTTATATTTATCTTTTTAAAAACTTGTTTTTGCCTTTAAAGCAGAAATGTTTGAAAGATATATTTATGTTCCAATTCCTTAGCATTTATAAAAGATTCAGGTCAAAAAGGCTGGATTTTAAATTGATGGCCTAGCCTACAACCATCACAGAAATACATATATTTTTGCTAGTCATAGATTAATAAAACTGAGGAATTCTTTTCTTAATAAAACATCAATTAAAAGAAATTCTATATTTATGACCATTTTTAGGTTTCTTAAACTATGTCACAGCAACAATTTTGTATCATTTTAAGGACAACAATGAGCCATTGATAGAAAAATGTGCATGATCCTTTTTAAAAAGTATAACAGATAATTGAAGTTTACATAATGTACTATATATCCATGGAAATTCCTACTATTGCCATTTTTATCTAGAAAAAAATGATGTTCAGCTTTGTGATTCATCGAGTCACTCTATTCATTGAATCTTATTTCAACTATTAAAAAAGTTCTGAAA